AGAATTGTACAGTAAGAAAGTTATTTCCCTTAACCAGGAAATTAACGTTCTTAGAATTGACAAGACAGTTGACCCTGAGTGGTCAGCTAAATATCTACAGCGGATCTAAAATATGAATAGTTAATTATAACTAGTTATGGTTAATTATTCATATTTCCTGTCGTTGAGCTAAAATTCGCTACATAATACTGAAATAATATGCGTACTGTACATGCCATGCCTGTATAACCTAGCAAACACTTTAGACATCATAGAGCAGGTGAATGAATTTGGCCATGTAAGTTTTAGTGCGGCTGGTTATTAGAGCAGAAGGGCATTGATGTGTGGCTTATCTCATCTTCAGGTCATGTGTTTGCAGCTGGTGTATATGTGTTTGTATGTGTCTGTTTTTCCCCTTTGATTCTGTTCAGTGCACTCACCTGAACCCCTTCTCTTTTCTCTCTTCCTCCTTTTTCTTTCTCTTCCTTTTCTCTCAGTTCCTCTTTTGCTTTTGTCTTTTGCTTACCCCTTTCCCTTTTGTTGACCTCCTTTCTGATACTTCCTACTTCTATTACAGTCAAAACCCACTCTGTTTTCTTTCATACAATAACAAGCAGGGTTCCCACGTTTTCATCAACACCAGATTCAAGGACTTTCAAGGACTTTTTAAAGCACCATTTATTTTATATCAAGCACCTATCAAATTCACACCCCAGCATTTGTAGCGTCATGAAAGACCTCTTTACCACTTAATATTAATATTTGCATGAAAAATTTCAGAGTAATAATGATGTTTTGAATGTGTAGGTTTCATAAATTTAGACCATTTTGAGCAGTCATGTTAAAAGGAATTTAGTTGCATAGTTCACCCAAAAAATTAAAATTAGCCCATTATTTACTCACCTTCAAGCCATCCTAGCCGTGTATGACTTCCTTCTTTCAGATGAATCCAATCGGAAGTTATATAAAAAATTGTCTTTGATCTTCCAAGCTGTTTAATGGCAGTCAGCGAGTGTTGCAGTTCATCAGTCCAAAAGAAGTGAAATAAAGCGCATCCATCCATAATAAAAAGTGTCTCACACGGCTCGGGGGGGTGGTGAACAAAGGCCACCTGTAGCGAATCGATGCGTTTTTGTAAGAAAAATATCCATATTCAAAACGTAATAATCACTTTAATCTAGCCTGCGGCAACAGTTGTACATGGTAGCAGCTCCGGGAGGATGACGTAAGATGTCGGTGTTGCGCATGCGCCGGTGAGTCTCGTAAAAACCAACGTTTGTTTACAGGATCAAAGGAAGCAAAGTTTCCTTACTTTAGCAAAGGAAAACCAGTCTCCTCTTGGCTTATATCGAAATCCTCCGACATTCTTCTTTACAAATCCTAATTTTGTACTTCTAATTAGTGACCGTTGTTTTGTTTTTATCTCTCTTCTGCACTTCTGAGCGGCGCATGCTCAACGCCGACCTCATACGTCATCCGTCTGGAGCAGCTTCCGTGTACAACAGTGAGCGCAAGCTAGATTAAATTGATTATTACGTTTTAGATATGGTTATTTTTCTTACAAAAACACATTGATTCGCTACAGGAGGCCTTTGTTCACCCCCCGCAGCCGTGTGAGGCACTTTTTATTATGGATGGATGCGCTTTATTTCACTTCTTTTGGACTGATGAACTGCAACACTCGCTGACTGCCATTAAACAGCTTGGAAGATCAAAGACCATTTTTAATAAAACTCTGACTGGATTCGTCTTGAAGAAGAAAGTCATATACACCTAGAATGACTTGAGGGTAAGTAATTGATGGGCTAATTTTCATTTTTGGGTGAACTAACAGGTTAGTTAAGTCAATACCGGTAATATTATACAATTTCTCAATTATTGATAAAAATATATTTTCTCAATTTTTTCATTTTAATAACATGATAAAACCTGTTAACATAAAAATGTTGCACATTCACTCAATAGAGACGTTACTCATTCATAAATAAACTTCAGTCAAAATTATTTTGTAAATAACTTTTTATTGTTAGTCCCATTTTTTCATCTTTGACCTAGAGGAATGCAGCTGCTCAAAACTTCAAAAATTTTTGGGCAGTCAAAAAAATGTAGCGCGGGTCCAGCAGTCCCGCGATTTGGCGCATACAAGAATGATGGCGATACATGAACATGAATTTACACGGTATTTGGTTGTACACCGATTACATTACTTGCCTAGAGGGCAAGTATCTACCAAGGGCACCGTATCGACTGTCATTTTCCTTTTTTTTATAGAAATTTAAATAATTTAGTTCAGCTGGAAAACGTACGCTATACACTAAACTGAAAGCTTTTGAATTGCCAGGTCTGCATGACAAAACTAAACCATGCCAGTTAAAAACAGCCCAAAACAGCACAGTGACCATATCCCAAATATCAAAACTCAAAATATGTCATTTCCATACCTAAAATACATATTTTACGGTCACTTATGTACACTGATCATAAAAACAACTCAAATCATTCTTACCAGTGGCCCTCCTTCAAAAAACTTCACATTGAACACAGTTCTATCATAAAGTAGAATGCAAAATGTTTCAATACAAGCTTTTCAGTCAAAAGTAATTTATGCAGTATTTCAAACCTTTAACCCACAGGAAAATAAACCCATGGCAACAGTTTAAAAGCAGTCCAATTCCATGGAAAACACAAGGACTTGACAACCCTGCATCCATACACGCACTTGTAGCGTCTGGACCACTCAAACACACAATATATATTTTGTTAGCTAGATTTAACAAATACTCTGTAACACCCCAGGAAGCCGAACAGGCCCCTGGTTCCATGGCAACCCTGACACCCGATACATTTACGACCTCCTGGAATTTAGGTGAAGAAAATTGCTTCCTTGCCCATAAGGAAAATCCACAAGGGAAGGACTTTTCTTTGCTAATTAATTAATAGGAAAATCTTTCTTTGAATGAACACACATGATCCTTCAGGTCATTGGGTATATTATTGTCATCGTGTATTTTGTCTTTGAAATTGTATACTGTTATGCAGGCTTATAAAAGAAACCCACTCCTGTCAGCTTACATATATATAACGCTACCATGTTTAGTATCTATGAATTCGTATTCGGATGATCTAATTGAGAGTGTATATTGTATGTTTACACCTACGCAACATATTAGTGTTCTAAGAGTCTGTAATAATTTTTATCCGAGTTTCATATGCAAATTACCATGCTTTCAAACAAAGGGCCATAAAAACACCCCAGTATCTCAGAACCCCCACTTGAGATTCCGGACTTCCTCATTGGACAAGCCCATCTTGAGAGGCGGGGATCTTCTCCGACCTTAAAGGACCCGCTGCAGGGACCCACCCAGTCGGTGGTTTGTTTTAATTCTGAAAGGATGTGAGAAGAACGCTCCCGGAAACCCTAAGCTCGTGCCAGGCCTCGGCCTTGTCCTTTCATTTCATTTCCCCAAGATTCTCTGACTCAAACTGGTTCTCTCTCATCAACCAACTTCAGCAAGATCTTGGGCCTTAAGATTGCATCAGGAATCTATTTCAAACAGA